GCCTTGGGATCTTCAGCGTGTGATGATGTCTGAAACTTGCTATAATTTCAGTTCAGTGTACCGTTCAAGCACCAGAAGTCTTGTTGGTTGCGTTGAAAACTACTCGTAATTAAGTCTTTGTACTGGATGGTTTTGAAGCACTATTCTGATCAATGTAGTGTTTTGACGGCTCGGGTGTTTCCTCAGCGCAGACTTCCATATGACCTTTTTTTTATGCATTTCAGTAGAATCTGAATAAATTCTTCGGCGCCCAAGATGATGTCGATTGGATGAAGGTATGAAGGATTTAGCTCAAGGATATTAATAAGAACAATCACCTCCAATGATTGTCCAGTTAGTCTTCGTGCGATTCTAAGTAGGACAAGGAATATAGTATCTAGCAAGAAATTGCCTAGATATCTTGGATGGACTGTTGCTTTTTTCTTCTGTTTTGCTGCTAAGAGCTCGCTCCTACTTAAACCTGATGTCTCAACTTTAATTTTTTTCATTGGTAGAAGTAGTGCAAGAAGGCTCGTATTGCTTCTTCTATGATAAAGGATGATTGGGGCTTGGTAAATATTTATATAACTTTGTCCTTTTTACTTTTGATGATGCTGTTGCCCAAAAACACCATTCCATTTTTCCTACTGGCCATGGTTTGGCTATAAATCATGTTGTTTCAAGAGAAATCTACTTAAATCTTTCGCTAGTATAATGATTGTTTAAAATTTACGATACGATTTCATAGTAGTTATCGGATATCTGAAAATCGAAAGTATTGTGTGAGTCTACTGGCTTCTTGACCATGTTTTTTTATCCTAATTTCTCCAATGTCATATTTAGTTGTACTGCACTTCATTTAACTCAAGTTTTGGCAGTTGTTTAGATTATTGGCCTTACTGGCCGATGCTACTTTGCTAGGTGTTTTGAGTAATTTGGACATCAGCGTTGCTGAGATGCTTTTCTGTATCGGATTATACTGGTAACAAAAACTATATACAGAAGATATCAAAAGTACCACATTCTCCCCAGATTTTCTAGTTCTTGATCGACGACGGATCTGGTTTTCTAGTTGTGGCTCACAGTGAATAGATTGAGACTGGTTTATTGTCTCACTAACATTTTCTTGTTCTATGTCTGGCATTTGTTCTGTGGGAATAGGTTCCTATAAAAAATCTACACCTTCTTCTGATTGAGTAGGCATATTTTTAACATAGTTATCAGCATTATTTTCCGTTTGCAGTAGACTTTCATCACAGCATGGATCTAAATATTTTAGCGGAACTGTTACTTGTCTATTTAAAAGTCGAACTAACGCATATTGAGGGTTAGCTTCAATGAGATCTACTTTTTCAACGAGAAGATCGTACTTTGATTGTCTGACATGCTTTTTCATATAATTTTTTCCAGAGATTAGCCGTGAAGGTATTGCTGTTCCATTCATTAATTTTCTTGAATGATAGAACATTCTTTCAAGTGGAATAGAATTAGTTGCTGTACATAAAAGAGACCTGATCGAATGCAATGCATCTTCTAGAAGCGCTTTCCAGTGTTGAATTTTTAAATTTCTTGAGCTCAAGGTTAGAGTAATCGTCTTCCAGATTATGCCATTAAACCATTCTGTTTGACCATTTCCTTCTGGATTATAAGGTGTCGATCTGCTTGTAGCTATTCCTTTTGAATCAAAATGAAAATGAAAATCATTTGACATAAATGAAGATCCTCTTGATCTATGTGAATATATCCAGGCATTCCAAAAATGGAAAATAAGTTGCTTAGACACCGAATCACCGTCTCAGAAGTCATGTCTTGGCATGAATAGGCGATTGGAAAGCGAGAATACTCGTCGATGATAGTGAATATATATTTGTTTCTTGAATAAGATGGAAGAAAGCCTTTGAAGTCCAGAGATATTCTCTCGAAAGCCGAAGTTGCTTTAATGAGTGTCCCTTGATTTTTAATAAATTTAGGTTTGAGTTCTGCACAGACTGGGCAAGAGGCTGACATAATACAAATATCTTCTACAGAGTAGGGCATATTGCGGGATCTGACCCAGTGGACCATTCTAGTGATTCCAGCTGACACAAAGCTTGATGTTAATAGAATAAAGTTTTCTGACTATTTGAACCAATTCGAGAAAATATATCAGCTACTACGTTTCCTCGTCCTGATCTATATACTATATCATAGCTGTAACATGATTCAAGTTCAAGTCGCCATCTTAAAATCTTCTCATTTTTTCTTTTGCTACTGTGTTTGGTATCAAACATAAAAGATTCAAATTTTTGATCAGTAATCAGCTGACGACCAATCAAAAAATGTCTCTATTTTTTAATCGCTTCGACTATGAAATAAGCTTCTTTTTCAACTGATGAATGATTTTGTTCACACTTACTCAGTGTTCTCGAGAAAAATGCAACTGGCCTTCTTGCTTGACTCAAAAGGGCAGCAATGGAATGTTCTGAAGCATCAGTCTCAACTAAAAATGGAATGTTATCTTTGATTGAAGTAACAGCTGATTTTACAATAACCAATTTAAGCTTTTCGAAATCATTTACACAGATTTCTGACAAGAGAAAAGATTTACAAAAAACAAGTCGAGGATTTTCTTTGAAAAGCAAGGTATCCACTTTGAGTAATGGGCCCAAGAGCCCTCTTCAGAGACTGAGAGTCTTCAGGTACAGGTAGTTTTCGTAGAGTCTTACTGGATCAGGTTTCAAGGCATTATTCTCGATCAGATATCCAAGAAGTTTGATTGATTTTAGGTAGTAAGAAGTTTTTTCTTCTCGTTTATGATAAAATTGTATTTTCTTACGAGTAAAAATTCTTTTAAATTTTTATCATGATCTTCTTGATTTCTACCGCATATCATAATATCATCTAAATATGCATAGACACCTTCAAGATTCTCTGATTTTAATATGTAGTCTATTATCCGTTGAAAACACGCAATTCCGTTTGTCAAACCAAGAGGAATTCTTCGGAACTGATATAATTTACCATCTGCTTCAAAAGCAGTATACTGCTTTTCGTCAAGTATGGGAACTTGGTGATACGCACTTTGTAAATCTATAGTACTGAAAATCTTGAATACCGCCACAGCACGAACAATATCTTCAATATTGGGCAGAGGATAAGCATCTACACTGGCCAGCAAAATTAACGCACCACTATTTTTGAAAAATATTTTTTATTTCATAATTTTGATCAAATATTTTTATGTCTTGATTAAATATGTTCTTATTCTGACCTAATAAGGGTATTAACAAAAGATAAAATTCCAAAAGAAGGTAAGAAAAAAAAAACAAGAAAAGTCAAAAAAAAAAAAAAAAATTTTATTGATAACCTATTTCACTTATTTAAAGTACTCCTCAGCGTGTTTAAATCCAACATTCAAAAACGCGCGTGTTTTAAAGTTACCAATGACAACATCAACAACCAACAACCCGAGAAAGGTTTAAATGTCAACTTTTTAATTATTGATTTGTCAGGAGTAGGTTAGGTACTTGTAGATAACGTTAAATAAAATGTAACAAGTGTCAAGCACGAATGTAGCATTCTACAATTATTAGTCATTTATGATTTGAACGTATACCAATAAGAAAAAATAGTGTAAAGTATTCGTGGATAACTGATCTTTAAAACACTTGCTCTATTTCGAGCACTCCGGCTGCGCCGTCGTGCTCGAAAAATCGCGCGTGTTTTAAAGACCTTAATATCCACTTATACTTTAATATACTATTTTTTAACTTTAGTTAAAAATAATTAATAACCGGTATTTCCTCCTCTATTTTGAATAATAGCACGGCAGCGATTTTTCATGTTAAAATTACGGGCCTTATCTCGTTTTAATCCAAATTATTCCATATTTGGACAATATCTCCAGTAAGCCCATTCAAAGTGTTAGGAGGGTTAGGAAGCTCTTGAAAATGGCGAAAAATCATGTCCCAGCCATCCTCAATTGGGTAAAAATCAGAACTGTTTGCTAGCCAATCCATAGTTCCAATTCCAACCTCATTAAAATAGAAATAAGTAAGTGGTGCGTAATTTTGCTGACCAGTGTAAATATGTAAACCTATTAATGGTTTGAGAGTAATCGATCACCATTTTTTTCTTGTGCGTTTCATTTTTCGTTACCAACACCTGTGCCCGCCAAGGAGAGTTGCTTTCTTCTATGATTTTATTTACAAGAAGGTTTTTTATTTCAATAGAAATAAAGTGTCTATCTTCTGGTAAAAATCGTCTAGACTTTATTGCAATTGGCGTGCAGTCTGCTGATAGATTTGAAAATAATGTAGGCGGATCAATTTTAAGGAACGCCAAACTACAAATCGATGATGAGTTGTCAATATACAAGGAAGGCTTAGAACCTCCAGAAAATAGTGGAGCCTTTATTGAGTTGTCATTTGCTATTTCATTAATATTTGCGAATTTTAAGCTCATACTGATTGTCTGAAGTTACCAGAATTATATATTTTTGCCCATCAGGTTCACAATAATTGAAGATTCATTTTTTTGCGTTCTTTCCTTGACCCAAACGAAACTTGTTCGATCATACATTTTGATAGACATAGTTTCTCTTCTCTAACCTTGTCTTTTCGTGTTATTTGTTGTTCCCTTTTATCCGCTTCTCTTCAATTTAGCGGCAAGTGCTTCAGCTCACAGCTGTCTTACTGCCAAAACGGGCTTTACCATTTTGCGACAAAACACGATCTACCCCACTTTTTTTGCGAATCTCGAAATCTTATCTGTGCCTCACCTATAAAAACAAGAAGGAATACCTACATGACCATACTGCATAGGAAAGTCTCATTACTCATTACAATAGCGTATTGCATTATGTGACTGAGATTTTAATATATTCGACTGTCGTAGATTTGATATAATGCGGGGGTGTTTTATTATACAAACTATAGTAGACGTAGAGCTATCTATTTCCAACTCCAACAAACTCTTTCCCTCAAACCATACCATTTTAGTAGTTGCTAATAGTATATCGTATTGCTTTTTTCCCCGTACAGTGAATTCGCTAAGGAAAGAGAAAAAGTAGAAAATAGACAAGAATTTTTAAAGCTTAGAAGAGCTGCCCAGCTAGAAAGAGAACTTAACGGTTATGTGCAGTGGATATGTAAAGCTGGTAAGAATTTTAAGCTAGCTTAACCCATTTAAACCTCGACTTCACTTAATTTTTAATTCGCAGAGGAAGTAATTCTGGCGGAGGAACGAACAACAGAAGAAGAAAAAATGCACATAATGGAAGCGAGAAGAAGGGCAGCGAAGAAGAAAAAATTAAAGAAAATTGGTAAAAGTAAAAGCACCGATACGGAGGAGGAGCAGGAAGAAGAAGATGTGGCCGATGATGGTAAGAGAGTTCAATTTTTATCATGTGAATATAATTTTTCTTTATATTCATTTTCTTCCTTTATGGTTAACGAGATATTAATTATTTATTTTGTGATTATATTTTGAAACAAATGTTGAACTTTTTTTTATAGTAACAGTTCTTTATCTACCATTTTTCACTCTCCTATGTAACTAGGTAATAGGAAAAATAGTAATGAAATAAACTCTTCTTATTCTTTAATTTAAACTCGTTTAGAAAAGACTTTATGCATGGTTTTCTATTATATTAATTCATTATGAAGAACATTCAAGAAAAGGTTAATAATTATGTTTCTCTCGAATTCGCAGTTTTTTTTTTTTTTTTTCTTAAATGTTCTGTTAATTCAAATTTGTTTCGTTTACTGATATAAAATTTTTAATTCCCAGTGTTTCTTACAGAATCTAACAAAAAGCTAAAAGGTACGCAGCTGGACAAGTATAAAAAACAAAAACAATTAGAATTAAATTAATTAAATTTATATTGCATTTTAAACAAAAACGTAGATCGCTTTTTTAAATAAAAATTATACAAGAGAAAAACTAAATTATAATTATGTAATTTTATTTTGATTGTATAGTTTTTTCACACAGAGATACCAAACTCAAAATCAAAATTTTATGGCTTTTGGCTGGTACCCCCACACCCCCAATTATATTTAGATTTTCCCTTCAATATTGTAGTATGTACTTGTCAAAAAAAATCTATCTCTATCTCATTCTTCACTAAAAATCATTTATAAATTCTATTGATGTAAGCAAAAATCATCTATTGATATGTGATGATGGTCGAGCGTGAACTCCTGCACTATATCAAGTACCTAACGATACTTGTTTGCATTACTGGAATTCATAAAAGGTTATTGGTATAGACCTTCTTCTATCTATATAGATTATAGAATAGTTGACCTTTTAAAAAATCTAGACATGCTAGATTAGTTTTCTTTAGAATTTAGAAGTTTCTAGAACAACGTAGAATAATTTAGACTATGAGATAGGTACATGTAGTTTTTTTATATAAGTATTAAGTTTTAGCATTTTATGATAAAGATAAAAATGAAAATATAAGCACTAACAATGTCGAAAAAGGATGAACTTCAAAACAAAATCTTCTAAAACTCACTTTTTACTTTCAAATAATTTTAAAAAATAACACAACGCATAAGTTTGAGTTCGAAAGCAACAAACAACTCTCAGTCTCTTCCTACAAGAATCACAAGTGGATTTTGATTAGTATAAATACCTAATTAATCAAATTAAAGTATTTGTTTTTAAGCGTGATTTTTTTCAACTTATGCACTTGTAAATTTAATTGAGAAAAGATCCTGAATAGCTCTACGAAAGTTCCTAGTGGAAAAATTTGAAATTTCATCAGAAATAGACCCAAAAGTTATTTTGTTCATCCATTCACAGATACACTCATTTATTCATAACTTACTACATCTTTAGGTCAAACGTTCTTCATCAATGTAAGTACTTTCATAATATTTTTCATTGCTCTTATTCATTGACTAATTCATTGTTCCACTTATTCACATTGTCACTTTTGCTTGTTCCATTTTTTCGAGAGGTGTTGGAACAGCAATCCTTCGACGTGTGTCCATAATTTTGCATACTAAGCACAGTGCTCGATTTTTTCATCTTAACTAGGTGTTGAGTACTTGCCAGTGTATTCATTTATATTTCTTTAATCATTTTTCTCAAACTTTGGTTCAGATACTTCCGACATTTCTTGCTCTTTGATAAAGTGTTTGCATTCGGGGTTAATGGCCGTCGTTAGTTGTAATTTCTTTCTGATGTTTCGCTAGTACGCGTGGTGCTTCCATGTTCGATTCTGGTAGCAGACTGACGCGTTCCCGATCGCAAATTGTATTTATGTGTGAGTGGTTGTGGTGGGGGAGGGGCGGGGCTTCGCAGCACGTGGCTAATCTGAACTTTCTCTGTACTCAATGGGATCTTTCTTGCGTTTTTGAGGATCGGATTCCGGATTTGGTTAAGTTTTAGTGTTTCTTCTTTCCTGTTGAAGTTTTCCGTATGTTTGCGGATTTTATAGCTTCACGTACAACACGATTTTCGTATCCGGAAGTCGATGCAAGAAGCTTGACCTCACCATATAGTATTTCGTGATTCCCTTCACTAAGCGCAATGCTGTCGATTTTTTCCATTGTCCTAGTATACAGTTTTTTTTTGTGCTCATTGATCCTGGTTCCCATGAATCTTTTTGTTGTTACTATGTATACATTACCACATGTGCATGGTATACGATAGACTCCAGTGCTTGACAGAAAGTTCCACTTGTCCTTGGCTGATCTGATTGATTCCTGTATTTTCCTTGTTGGCTTGAAAATTGTTTTTATGTTGTGTTTCTTCAAGACTTTCCTTAAACCTGCAGTGGTGGCGCCCAGTCTCTCATGCCCGAGCTTCTTAATCCAATTTATAAAAAGTGTGAGGATTAATTTGCGGTCTTCGCCGTTACAGTACCTTCCCATAATAGACTGTGAGATAAGAGCTGTTTAGTGGAGTTATTTTTTTTTTGTCTGGCACTTTGAGGGCTGAATGTGGCTACTAAGCTGATGAGAATATGGGTGATTTTAATGCCTGCCTCCCGTTCGAAAATTTGCAGAAGAAAAAAATTGATTTACATGGGGATTTTTTTTTTAATGATCTCAAATTTTTTGGCTCCTAAATAAAAGATTGACATTGATAAATAATTCACCAATAAAAAATATCAGATGCTTTTTAATAGCTGAAAAAGTGGGGATGAATGTCAACTTCCAAGAGAAAAGAAAAGAACCTTCCGCGTTTACTTTTTGTCTGGTTATCGATTATTGTGAAAATATCGCTGAAAAATCGCCAGACGGTAATCCCAGTTCGAAGTCGAGTTTTCCGGCGAAACATTCTGTGGACATTTCGAACAGGTGGCAGACACTAAAACCACCTATATTCTCATCAGCTAATTAGCCACATTCATCCCTCAAAATGCCAGACAAAAAAAAATGACTCCACTAAACAGGCCCTAACTCACGGTCTATAATGTAGTTTACTAGCGAACGTCATGAGTGTTATGTGCTAAATATTTTATTGAGCTGCTTGGTAATAGTTTCGGGTCTGGTGGACTTGGCGCCACTGTTGGCGATTTGCCGATGGTGGTGTTTCAGAATATTTCCATCTTCCGTAAGTCTGTTGTGAGTTTAGTTTATATGTACAATTATTGTATTTCTTATGAATTTGTACAATTATGAGTTATGAAAAAGATTAACCTCGAATGCTTATGTTATTGGAGGAAGTAGAGACTGATACCGGAGGAAATTTTGATGATGAGGAGTCTGAAGCAGAGGAAGACAATATTGAGGAACGATCGTGGGAGCAAGATGGTGAAGATAAACCAGAAGCCGAACCAAGTGCATAAATTTCTCGATTTCCTACTTTCATTGGAAAGGATGGTTCTGTATGAAAAAAAAACATGGTCAAAATCGAAAACTTTATTTGTTTATCACATGCTGTTTTTATGTGTCTCATTTGTAAGCTAATACCCTAATTTTATACGAAATATGTTTTGTAGATTATAGTTAAGAAAAAAAAAGTAGTTTAGGAGTCTCTTTCAAGTCTTTACTGATATATTTTAATTTCCTTTTTTATGTTGTTTTATTGTTCACTGTTTATGGACCTTTTGTATTTCTGTCAATTTTTGGCACTCCTAAACACAAATTATTTTCACATTTGACAATAAAATAGAAGCAAACACTCTCTAAAATGAAAAATAATGGTCCCAGTCTGAATATTTCATCTATTTCCAATATTCCATGATTTTTTAAGAATATGGGTCTCTCAGACTAATGCTTTTTTGAGAGTTGCTGATATAGTTCCATGCGGGGGCAGCGTAAAGTAAGGTTGGTCGTATAATGGTTTTGTAAATATGTATGCGGTTTCTGGGACTGAGGTATGAGTTTGGTTTCATGATTGGTGCCAGAAGTCGTTCAGCCCCATACGCCTTGCGTAAGGTGTTTGTCACCTGGGAGTGGCCATAGAGGCCTTTGTCAAGGACCACCCCCAGGTATTTCGCTGTTGTTTTGTTTTCTATTTCTACGTTGTTGATAGTTAAGGGTGGTTCAATTGTAATGTTTGTCCGTTTTCTGGTTAGTGTTAGAAGTTCAGTTTTTGAAGAGTTCAGAGTAATTTTCCAGTCTTGTAGGTAGGGGATTATTTGGCTAAGATGGTCCACCAGAGCTTTTCTCGCGTCTTCTGCGAAAAAGGCAGTGGTGTAGATAGCCGTGTCGTCTGCGTACATTATTATGTCAGTGTTGTAAGTTTTCGGTATGTCTGCAATGTATAAGTTGAATAGAGTTGGGGATAGTACCGTGCCTTGAGGTACTCCCGCTCTAATTGTCTTAGTTTGTGAGTGTGCAGATACTGTTTTGATTTTGAAGGTCCTGTCGCTAAGGTATGACACAATGAGCGATGTAAAGTGTAGTGGAAAATTGTGTTTGTACATTAATTTGTGGATTAGGCCCTTGTGCCACACCTTATCAAAGGCCTTCTCGATGTCTAGTAGCAGCAGGAAGGTGCTTTCGTGGTTATTGAAGGAGATTGAGGCATCTTGAGCCACCTTCGCTACTGCTAGGGTCGTGTTGTGTTGTTGTCGAAACCCGAACTGCTCCGGTGGGAGGCAGTTTAGGGTGTCGATTGTCCGGTTAAATCTGTCCAGAAGTATTCGTTCAGCAACTTTCCCCAGTGAATTTAGTAAGGATATGGGTCTGTAAGATTGTGGTAGAGTAAGGTCTTTTCCTGGTTTTGGAAAAACTATTATGTCAGCTTGTTTCCATGCTAATGGGAAATGCTGCAGCGTTATCACTGCGTTGATTATGTGTACAAGCTGCATAATAGTCTTCCTTGGTAAGTGTTTTATTAGATTGTTTCCAATAGTGTCGGGTCCTGGGCTCTTTTTGTTAGGTAGTTTTCTGATTTTTGTTTTTAATTCTTGTGGTGTTACCAGAATCCTTTGCAGCACTGTAGGTGGAATTGGATACTTTTGCCTGGCAAAGGCGTCCGCTGTGTTCGTTATGTAATTGTGTGTATTTGTTGTGTTCGGTGTTTCGCTGAAAACGGTCCCAAAGTAGTCAGCGAAAATTTCTGCTTTGTCGGTTTCCTTGTAATAGCTAACACCATTGACGACCAGGCTTGCCTTCTGTGTTCCTGGTCGCCTAAGGATCTTTGCTAGCTTCCACATGGAATTATCTTGGCGTTCTAGAGAGGAAACATACTTCATCTAGGACTGGTTCCTATGATTCCGTATGTCCCTCTCTATTTCTTTGTTTAGGTCCTTGAGTATTTGTCTGTCAATTTCGTTGGGGCGCCTTTGCCATGCTCTTTTCACCCTGTTTCTCAATTTAATAAGTGCTACAATCGATTCTGGAATGGCGTCA